TTGTGCCTGTTCAACCCCCTCATTCCTTCCCTAGCTCAATAGCCAGGTTTACACAGATAATATATGCTCTCACATTCCCCTCACGTTAGCTGTAGATGACATCTCCTGCTCAGACATTCACATGGAAGCCAAGCCTTAGTAATAATTTTCTTTATGGTTAAACTTAATTAGTAGCATGACAGATCAAGTCTAATTAATCCATCCATTTCTCTGAACAATGATATAGGTAGTATTCAACCACCCCAGGTTAAGAGATGCTCGTGTCTCCAATTTTGGACAGAATTAATTAGCATGCATCTTCTCCCCATCTGCTTCCTCCAATGACCTCCTTCTCCATGGAGAGGTGAACCAAGGAAGGTACCAATTCCCTTTTACCTTTTACACATATTTTCAGTCCCTCTACAGTTGTGCAATGTAACAGATATGAGCATCAACAGAATAAAGCCCCATCAAGTAAAGACACAAGTCACATAGTCACATAGTGCAATATATCAACACTGGGTTCCTGTTGAAAGGACACCCACTATGGGATAATACAACATAAAACATCAGTGAAAAAATAAAACAGGAAACATGCTGGAGCCACTGCACAGGCCTAAAGCTTGATATAGAACCTTCTGTGCGTAACACCAGAGAAAGAGAATGTCATGTCTATGAAGAGGGTGCCATATGCTATGAAATAATATCAGTAAAGCATACAAAATGAGAAATATAATATGCAGAACAAATACAACAATGGCAAACTAATAGGTTCACACATAATAGTAAGGTTCAGCCATCATGACTAAAGGATGTCAGGATGTGCTCACTTGACTGAAAAATAAGCTTCAGGCCCCGAGGGCCACACAAACACTACATTGTCTTTGAATATGTGGCACCCCACATTAAGATCCTTGTAGTATGCTGTGAATTTCTGGTAGGCTGGATTGGACACTTTCAGCATTCGGAACAACCTTGGGACCTGCAGTAAGTCCCAAATAAATTTCTTATAAAGCTCTTATTGATCACATCAAACATCTCCTCTCTCATGTATGGGAACTCGTGGCTATACTCCACTCTAATGTAGGCATACGAGAATCACTGCTGCCTTTTGAGGTTCCAATTATCCACCTCCCCCAGAGGAAGAAATGTGCAAATAGCCCAAAACAGGGGAACAGAGGGGTCTTAATCAGTACAGCTTGTATCATCCTGGTACTGGGGGAAACGCAGTGAGTCAGGTATATGTGGAAGATCTGGTACTGATGCTGGCGGAGGTTCCTGGACACTCATCCACCAGGGGCAGCAGCTCTTCCCAGGGTAGGCAGTCCGGTAGCTCACTCAGTAGGATTCCCACAACAGCCCCCTCAGGATTACTCAGCTCTTCTTGGGCTGTATCGTAGGACTTTTGGTACTGCTTCCATACTTGCTGTAGGAGACTCTGTTTCTGGGAATGGTGGTTTCTCCCTCCTCTACAAGACAGGCATCAGGCAGGCCTCAATCCCAGAGACAATGGAGGAAGCTGATTGCACTGCACCCGCCTCAACTAGATCCCCGGTATGCACCGGGCCATCTATACTTGCCCTAGGTGGGGCGGCTGACAGGGCACCCAGGTGTACCGCCTGCCACAGATGTGGAAAGACTTTCAGTTGATTGGCACATTAACAGGAGGTTCTCCTTGGAGAGGGCCTCAGATGGATCCTTGGATGCTCGGTAGCTCCTCTCACAGATAAACACTCGAACAGAAAGGTGTTGTAAAGTTGTTGTACCTAGCACACTGCTTCAATTCTACTGATACAGTGCTGCACAGCTTACACAGTGGCAAAAGGGCATCCTCTCTACCTCCATGGTATAAGGCAAATTCGCCCACTGACTGGAACCAAAGCCTTGTGTCCATGTAAGAAAATGTAGCATTGACGGTCGCCATGGCACTTGGCACTTGAGCAGACATGACAGCTCCACATGTGGCCTACTCCTTCTCCACAATTACAGCCTCCAGGTCACCTTTTTCTCCACTTGGCATATAAGCAACTGATGCCTTCCTGCCAGAGACCTGCCTCCTGTGTGACGTCCAGCCTCTTCAGACTGTCTCTTAAAGCTGTGCAGCCAATCCTGTGGCCTGCCAAGTGTAAGAAGTGCCTAGGCTGCCTCACACGTGGCCATTGCAAGCAGCTGGGTCACCTCCACAGATTCCCAGGACATACATGACTCTTAATCCAAACTGCAATTCCCTGTGTGAGGATGGTGGCCAGAGACTGGACCCCTCCACCCTCCTGGTTGTGCCTGCTCAACCCCCTCATTCCTTCCCAGGCCAGCCAGATTTACACAGAGAATACTTGCTGTGGATGACATCTCCTGCTCAGACATTCACATGGAGGCCAGGTTTTAGTAACTAACTTCCTTTACTGTTAAAGTTAATTAGCAGCATGACAGATCAAGCAAAGTTAATCCATTAATTTCTCTGAACAATAGAAGCAGTATTCAACTGCACCAGGCCAAGAGATGCTTGTGTCTCTGATTTTAGACAGAATTAATTAGCCTGCATCTTCTCCCCATCTGCTTCCTCCATTGACCTCCTTCTCCCTGGAGAGGAAAACCAAGGAAAGTACCAAGTCCTTTTTACTTTTTCCACATTTTCTCAGTTCCTCTACAGTTGGGCTCTCCTGTCTCCCATATGTCCAGAAAGAGAACCCCCAGAGAGGCCCTTTCTTCAACAAAGAGGGAGAGCAGGAGTAAAGCAGCCTTGTTCTCTTCTCTTGCTCTCTGCCAGACTTTCCTCTAGTGTCCCCTCCTCCCTTAACCATAAATGAGCTCCCAGAATCCTCCATTTAGGAGCAGCAACATTTTATGAGGACTTACTCTGATCTCTACCTGTCTACATGAGGTTTATCATTTTGTATATATTTACTCAACACAGTGTCATAATTTATATTTTACAGAATATTTGAAGATTATACCATATTTTGTTTGTGCACACTAACATGAATTTTAATGTGTTTTTTACTGAAAATATATAGTAGCAGTAGTACGCATACTGTTTCATGCGACATTTAAAAATGGTCATCATATTCTTTTACAGGTATTGTACTCTGCTTTCAGAAAAAAAATATCTATACATTGTATACAATGGTCTAATTCAATTTCCTATATTTTTTTCATGCACTCATATCATGCATCTTGTTCTGCCTAACTGTTCAGGCAGTCACTGCAAACTTCCGACATAGTATTTGGCATTAATGACAGTGAATTCATTTCATTTTAAATGTATGGTGGTAGCTTAGCTACTCTTTGCCTTTACAAATATATTATAAACCATAAAATCTTAAATTATATTTTTCTTCTCTTGTTTTGCTTGTTGCCCATCCATAACTTTTTTTCTTTTTAACATGAGAGTTCATGTCTCGGATAGCTAATTTAATAAATCACTAATTAACAATAATTAAGTAGTCAGTCTAATCAAAACTAATCTTTCAGGTTCAGGTGGATGCTGGCAGGTTGAGTCACACTCTGGCATATCACTTTGGCAGAAAAGTTGTACTTGTCATAATTCCAGTGTCAGTAACTAGTATTGGCTATCGATAGTGCCATCTAGTGGGACATTAACATATTTAGGAACTTTATTTTTCTGTTCATTGTGTATGTTGTGTTATTCAGCGATGAGGTTGGCCAAGACATTGCCTTGCACAAAAACAAAATGTAACACTTTACTGACAGGGTGGAAGCTATTGAAAAGACACATTTAGTGAATGTAAAATCGCTCCAAGTAGCCAATGAGTCTAATACCATCCAGAAATATTTGGACCTCATATGCTCACATCTTGATGACCCAGGAAATTGACATTGAAGGGACAATATTAGGATAAGGGGCATTCACTATTACAGAAAAAATGGAAAGAGGCACACTTGCATACTCCAAACCAGCTTATTTGATAACCCATAAAATCAATTGCACATCAGATGAGCAGAGACTTCTAAAATGGGTTATGCGCACTATTACTATTCTATGACTAAGTGCCTGTGAGCATGAAACATGTTAGAAGTCTCTGCTCATCTCCGCAATATATTTTATGGACACAATATAGAAGCTGCTTTGGAATATGTTGGTGGGTCACTGTCTTTTTTCCTGTAACAGTGCTTTTCAGACCATTTTTAACACGCTTCTGGACAGACCAGTCAGCAACCCTATTGAATTAGACTACATGCACAGGACAAATGACCACATCTGATCTCAAAAGGCTCTGGATGCTGTGCAGGGTCCATATAAATAAATAGTATATTGTAATTTAATGTTATTAAAAATGACCTTTCCTTTTCAATCTGCAGTGCTAAAGTTTTATGTAAATTGTGATGCAATATGGCTACCTTGAGGAGTTCTGTACACAGATGCTGTACAGAATGCCCCCCCCAGCAATGTAATTTCCTGCTTGTGTGATTGGCTCACTGATATTCTTAAAAGTCTGAACTAAGATGCAAGTCAGATTTTAGGTATTCCCTGCAGCAAAAGTATCCTTTTTGGTGAGTTACTCCCATTTGGAAATCACGTCTAAATGGATGCAGACCCTGCAATTTTCCTCATTAGGGCCCTGCAGGTGCAGCAGCTGATTGAGAATTATGAAGTCACTCCTGTACAGATTTACATGGACACAGACATACAAGCAGCTATTTCTTCAGAATAACAAAAATTAGTAATCTGCAACAAAGTTTGTTAACCGCCTCCCGCCCGCTATATAAGGTAATGACGGGTGCAAGGCATCTCTCTCATTCTGGGAGGATGTCATATGACGTCCTCCCACTCTAACCACGCGTGTGTGGCCCCGGGAGCGCACAGCATGGCGATCGGTGGTGCGCTGTGTCCCTCGTACACAGTGGACCACCGATCAATGGAAAGAGCCAAAGATGTAGTCTCGGTCATGTGATCAGCTGTGTCCAATCACAGCTGATCTCATGTAAATAGGGAAATGCCAGTTATACAGCTTGAGAGGAAAGGAGAGGAGAGCCGGTAATCGGGATTCATCGGAGAGGATATGATCAGTGTGCCCTGATGATCAGTGTAGCCCCAGCATTGCCAGCTGTCAGTGCCCATCAATGTCAGCTGTCAGTGCTCATCAATGCCACCTGCCAGTGCATACCAGTGCACATCAATGCCACATATCAGTGCCCATCTGAGATGCCTTTCAGTGTCACCTATCAGTGCCAGTCAGTGCCACCTATCAATGTCAGTCAGTGCCACCTATCAGTGCTGCCAGTCAGTGCCACCTATCAGTGCCAGTCAGTGCCGATTATCAGTGCCAGTCAGTGCTGCCTATCAGTGCCTGTCAGTGATGCCTATCAGTGCCAGTCAGTGCCACCTAACAGTGCCAGTCGGTGCCACCTATCAGTGCCAGCTAACAGTGCCATATACGAGTGCTGCCTTTCAGTGCCCATCAGTGATGCCTGTCAATGCCCATCAGTGCCACCTACTAGTGCCTCCTCATCAGTGCCTCTCAGTGCCACCTATCAGTGCCCATCAGTGCAGCCTATCAGTGCCCATCACTGCAGCCTCATTAGTGCACATCAGTGAAGAAGAAAAATCACTTATTTACAAATTTTATAACAAAAACTAAGAAAAAAAATTTTTTTTTTCAAAATTTCCAGTTGTTTTTGGTTTGTTTAGCAAAAAATAAAAAACCCAGAGGTGATTAAATACCACCAAAAGAAAGCTCTATCTGTCTCAAAAAAATTGTCATTCAAAGTGTGACAGAGCTCGTTTTACACAGAATAGATGCTGTAATGCTCATGGAACGTATTCATTATACCCTACTGGATAAGATGCACTTATTTGATAAAAAATGGGAGTCATGGAGGGATTATAGACATTTATTGCATAATTAACAACATCCCCACTGAAAATTGACTGGCATATACTGTTGACGGATATATCATTCAATCTACCTTATCATCAATGTATTTCATGTACTTGCAACCTACTCTTTTCTATTTCTTCTCTTTCTTACATTAATATATTTTTCTGTATTGTACTTTTCAAAAGTGCCTTGTTACTGCTGTATGTATCATCTGTAAATGTACTGTTGTTTTACAGTCTACTTTCGTACAATAAAATCGTTTGTAAACAAAGTGTGACAGAGCTGAAAGCTAAATTCTGGCCTGGGCAGGATGGGGGTATAAGTGCCCTGTAGGCAAGTTGTTAAAATCCTTGAAATGCACACTGATCTCCCAGAGGGGAATGTTTTTTTTTTCAGGTAAAGTGAAGTTACTCTTTAAGAATCTGTTATTGTACTTTATTTGAAAGTTATTATATTTTAGTCTCCATTGTGTATTAGTTTGCTTTACACTTTTTTAATACTAAACAATACAAGTCTGTCTCATGCTACTACATATTTTGTAGCATTTGGCTATTATGTTGGGACATTCTCTTTGTTATTAGCTCCACCTAGTGGATATGATCTATATTGCACTCCCGATGCCTTGCTTGATACCCTCGAGGAGCAGTCTGGAATTGTGCTCATCCTACTTTGGGTTCAGTTAGCATATACATTTTTGAACATCTCCTGCTCCCAGCTAGTGAACTTGCCTCAACAACTCTTCTTGAAGTTGTGCTCCACAAGCCTAACAGAGACACCATGCACTGTAACAATTATTGCCGCATCTCACTTATAAATGATAAATTAAAAGTATATTAAAAATATAAGTGTAAGCAACCATTTTTCATCCATGGAGACAAAAATGGTAGGTTGCTAGCCATTCTGACTAAGGAAGACAGGCCTCATCACCACCTTTCTGGAACTTCAGACCTCAGACATACTAAAATTATTATGCCAGAGGTAATGCATCAGGAATTTGCCTCATACTACATTAAATTATATACTTAAACACTACCACCGAATCATAATCCTGCAGATATAACTTCCCTATTGGACACAATAGCTTTAGGGTGGCTCTTGGATTAGGAACGCAAATTCTTTGAAATCCCCATCATTGACATGCTTTCAGGTATTAGATTCTTTTCTAACAGGAAAGTACGGAGCCAGAAGGTAAAGGTATCCTAACCAAATTTTACAAAATGCATGCCACTGTACTTGCCCAACTTACAACAGACATCTTAATGAGAATAACCTACCCCCTTCAGTGCAAGAATCTTAAATTACTCTTATACCTAAACTCCCAAAGAACCCAACGTAAAGCTCCTCATATAGGCTCATTGCAATGTTGAACTGGGATCTGAAAATTCTCACAAAAATGTTCTCCATCAGGGGAGAGGCTGTTTCACTCTATTTTATACTGTATCGGTGTCATGGTTATATTAACTCATACATATTTTAATAGATTCAGTCCAAGCCTAACCCTTCTTTCCCATTCAGTGGGGGAATGAACCAGGGCAGTACTCTATTTGCCATCATGATGAAGCCCACTGCGGGAGACCTACTACACACTGCATTTTCTTAAAGTGGAACCTTAGTCAGAAATTTAAGTCCTGCTAGACCAGTTCAGGCTGGCCCCGTTTGCAGGTATAGCTATAAAACATTAAAGGTAAGTGCCTATACTGTTTAGAATCCTGTCATACACAGGTCTCACCCTGCTCTGCACATTTTCAATTGCTCTCTATTTTTAGGCACTGTGCCAAAAATGTAGAGGGCAGTCTGTTGCCAGTATAAATATTTACTGCTGCTCAGGGGCCCTGGGCTTCAGCAAAATGTCAGCCTTCGGCAGCAAGAATAGGGAACAATGCTGGAGGCAAATTACAGCACACACTAATTTTGGTAGCATAATTGTTAATGTGGAATGTATATTCCTTGCTAAAGAACATATTTTTTATCATGTTGTCATGGGTAACTTTCCGCTTTAAGGCATGAGTCAGGGAACAAAATGACTTGGATGGTGCACAGATCTTTTTATTTCCAGCTCTCTCATGCTTAAAAGTGGCCCTGCAGGAGGAGAGGTTGGCCTTGTACAACATACACAAATGATCTTATCTTGCTTTTGAACGAGAAGGGGTTGTCTCTGAAGGGGGAAATTTGGGTTCTAACTGACTTTTCTAGGATTTCTGGCCTGCAGGTCAACTGGAGTAAATATTTTCTTTTCCCAGTTGACCCTGATGCTAGAGATACTACAGATAGCACTCGCCATTCCCATGGGTCATGAGTTTCACATCTCTTGGTATACTGGTGTCCTATGTCACTTTGAATGTCTTACCACTACATAAAGAGGTGAACTTAACATTGAATGTGTGGAGTAATTTACCTCTTTTCCAAACTGGCTCCATTAACCTAATTAAAAAGGAACTTTTGCCTAAATTTACCATTTCCTCAGACTGGGTACCAAAACTCAGTTAGTTACACAAACTCCCGTTATAAACTAGCCACCCTTACTAGACCTACTGTACCTAGTGGGAAAGTTAGGCTATGTCAGATTTTCATAAGCACTTTCTGCCATTGACTATGCATAATCCATTTAATGCAGACACTAGTAATTCAGTGCCCACACTGGAAACCACTATCCTTTATTTCCTTTGAAGCCTTAGAATTGCTTCTTTTTAAGGGACCTGAAAGCACCAAATGCGTTTACCCCATCTATACTGACAACTGCCTCTCCCCTTTGGAGAAATCCAACATGACATCACATCTCCACATAAAGTTAAAACTGTAGCTGATGTTGTTCATGACTAGACACTAGTGTCCATTAATATTCTTCTGAGTCCCTTCTCCCTTCCTTTCTCAGCAAGCAGGTGCTTCCAAGGGGTTAAATGTTTTTCTTTTGCTGTGCTGCACTTTTCCAGGCCAACTGTGTTCATGTACAAGACCAAATGTTACAATGTGTCTTTCTGCAACATGTGTTCTTGGTTGGCCTGCTAGGTTGCTGGATCTGAGTAGGAAGGGTTAACACTGCTAGTTAAGCTTTCCCACCATTTCTCAGCTATTAATTTGCAGGCCATACCATATAAATAGGGTCTCTTCAGTGCCTCTAGAGACTCTGCTGGAAACACTGCCAAGATGTAGACTGTTATTCTGTTGGTCTGTGGCCCCAACTGGGAGCCCAGTTGGGGTTCCCTTTGGGGTCGGAAAACTAAAGACTTTATGGACTTTTAGCTACCAGTTATGGACTTACTGCCTTTGTGGAATGCTGCCAAATCTTGGACTCTAAAGGGTTACTACGTCTTTGGTCTCTTGCCTAAAGGGAATGCTTTCACGAACTTGCCATCTGCCTAAGATACAGTCACTTAACGGGGCACTAAGAGAACTCTGTACAGGAATGTGTGTGAAGATCTTGATCGAGAACTGTTCTTGTGTTTTCCTTAACGACATCAGTAAAGCTTCCTTATTGTTCATATGATTTGCCAGGTCTAAAGTCTCTCTAAAGTGATGCATATAAAAGAAACGTGAAATGCAGAGCTATAAATACGATGAAAGCAAGGCACTAATGCATAAATGAATAAAGTGACAATAGTGAGGCGCTTAAATTAAGCGCTGACGTGAATAATATTCCATAAGTGTCTCGCAATTTGGCAGCAAGAAAGTGATATTAGTAAATATAAAGTGACAATGGTGAACAGTCCAATATAAAATATGACCATTCAGGAAAAAATGGCAAAAACAGCAAACTGTCCAAATAATCTCCGTGATGAATAAGTGAAAGTGACTCTGTGCTAGGAAATGCTGTATGAATGCACTCACCAGAAGCGCATATTAAATATGCATAATAATATATCCAGTTCTTCCACAGGTAGGGAAAACTTCCATCAGTAGGATCATGGTATGGAGACAGGAAAAAAACCCTTGGCTTCTCACAGCATTACAGGGAAGACTTCAAACACCACCACTGGCCTCTAGCTGCATTACAGGGATGGCTCTGGGTCCCTCTCCACCATGGACAGAGCCGGCAGAAACAATATATTCCACCTTAGGGAAAATAGCTCACATAGCCCCCATTGCAACACCCGTGATTTGAAGGTAGAAATTATTATCAAACCAAAAGTAATTATGCTGCATTGCATATTCCAAAAGCTTCAAACTGTATTTCTTTTGGCAAACAGGGATATCTACAGCCTCATTCCAATAAAATTCTGCAGCTGTCATACCATCATTATGCTTAATGTTGCTATTAGAGATGAGCGAATCGAACCTGGCGAAGTGGAATTCGTTTCGAATTTTAGGAAAAATTCGATTCGCGTCAAATCCGAATATTAGCAAACTTCGGATGCGCGAATCGAATTTTCCCCGATCGGCCGATTTTCATCCCTTCTACAGCCGGCAAAAAGTGTCCCTGCAGAGAGCTCCGCTATTCCTGACAGTTCTCTGACAGTTCCTTCACATTTACAGCAGTTGAAACATTGTATCTATTTGTTTCCATTTAGGATACAGATGTTTTTATTCGGAAACAAATAGATACAATGTTTCAACCGCTGTAAATGTGAAGGAACTGTCAGAGAACTGTCAGAAATAGCGGAGCTCTCTGCAGATACACTTTTTGCTGCACTGGAATTCTTCTTCATCCTCATCCTACTTCTTCTTCTTCTTCTTCTTCATCCTCATCCTACTTCTTCTTCTTCTTCTTCATCCTTCTT